ACTCTCTAGTCTGCTTAGGTTCAATTCCTTGGGCCATTTCTGTAGCCTCAACTCGGATGATTACTTCTTCCTTTAGCCAGTTTCTCAACGCTTTCACTGACCGTATCTTATGTTGTTCACTAAGCCATCGACTGTAATTTTCTACTTGTCGTTCCGATAGTTTCTTTACCAGCAGGCTATGCAATGCACCATCTCCCAGTTCCCCACTGCGCCCCTCAGCTTCCAACTTCACTACGGTTACACGCACAAGATCAGAAAACTTTTCGAAAGACTGAATGTCATTGTTCTTCAGAGTTGGCATATTCTCTAACTGATTAAGGTAAGCTTGCAACTGACGACGTTGTCCACCAAACTTAGATTTTAATATGTCCTTAGCCTCATTATACTCTGGCGCCGTAACACCCAGTCCACGAATTGCATCAAGGGCATTTCCTGAAAGACTTTGACGTAGTCGAGCCATTTTAATATTTACAGGCTCACTCCCTTCATCAACTAGGCTGATGAATAATGCCCAAAAATCCTCAAATCTAGTTTTATCACCATAATAGACTGGAACTGTTAGTGGTTTAAGACGATGATGGGTTATACCAGTGAAATTGCTTGCAAAACTCTGAGGGCTTGCTTGGGTTGTTGTAGTGTCCGGACTAACATTAGCTGTGATTGTATTGGTAGTGGGATTGCTTGCTAAACTCGGTGGGCCTTCTGTGTCCACAACAGGTGCTGGACCATCATTGACTGTGGTTATTCCAGTTGGATTGCTTTCAGAACTAGGTGGGCTTGCTTCAACTGCTGGCGCCGGGCTTACATTGACTACTTCTGTCCTTGTTCAGAAATACTTGATAAGTATTCTTTGATTACTTGTTGTGCTTTCTCCACAGTCTGGTGTCCATCTGATTCAAAGTTTTCCTGTTCTTTTAGAATAGCTTCCTTAGCTTCAGCTTGGTTGGATTTGATATAAGTTGAACACAATTCATCCATCACAGATAAGCCTGTTTCCAATGCATCCCACAAAGCCTCAATTTCAGCTTCGATTTCACCACGATTTAATTTACTCTTCTGAGCACACAATTTTTCTAAGTTATGTCTAATTTTTGTCACATTTGTTTTTCTTGCTCGTTTTTCTCGCTTTAATGCAAGCACTGTTTCTTCCAGTTCAAGATCATTCTTGGATACACTTGGTTCATCTGTCTCATTAGTTAACGGCATTATGTCCCTTAGCAAATAAGCTTTGTTTTCTGTTTTAGCTCTATTTTTTGTTCCAAAGTTATATTTAAGAAATTAATAACTTCACCATAAAGTTCCACAAATATATCAACAAATCAGAATCAATAACTTTAGTTTGTACTCACGCTTCCATTAAAACTTACTGTTTATCCCTTGCTTTCCTGGCTATCCCCAACCATCAAGTACGTGTCACGGTATATTTAATACTTTATTAATATAAACTGCCGTCTAATTCCAAATACCTCGTAAATTTGCTATAATTCGATGTAATTATATCGTAGAAACACCCAATAAAGTTTAAAACAAAGCCGAGTTTACCACAAATTTATAAAACGTCCCGAATATTGTTCCAATACCGATACAACTACGAATAAACGCTGTAAATACGCCAACAGTCCTCGAACACGATGTTGTGAAATTTTCCCCGATTTTAACCACGAAATTCACTTTAAAAACCCCAAATTCCTCGAATTGTCCTGGCAGGATTGCCAAATGTTGCGATGTAACGATATTTAGCCTCGAAAAGTACTCGATTTAGTACAAAAACAGTGAAAATAAACTTTAATACGAAATTCCTACACGAGTTTACTGTTTACTTAGCATTCTTGTCTATAGTACACTGATCTCAAAAATCCACTGATTGTCTGCGCGCGTGTCCCGCGTTTTGCGTGTAAAAGTCATATCTCTTCTAAACAATAATTCTGAAAAAAAATGTATATTTAAGGGGTCACTCAACTTGCCCACAAAGTTCAAGTATTGTTGTCTGAAAACCTAGTATATTTCTTTTGTATTCCTCATTTCCCCCTTATGATTTCTCATGCTTTTTCTCTTTTAGAATAACCTATATAATGTATTCTTGTTTATTGCAGAATTATCTACCACAATGATGCAGTTGAAATTGTATTATTTTAATTTAAATTCTTCAATGAATAATTATTAACTACCAATCACCAATGAGTCATTCCAGAAAAGATAAACACTAACTTCACAGAAAGAAATTGTGCTGTCTGAAGTGGAAGAGGGCAGAACTCAACTGCTGATAATAGTAAAAGTATTCTTGGGTTTCATATGACGTTACAAAAGTGACGGGGGGTCAACTCTAAAATAAAACACAGTTATCAGAGTGAGTCGATTGTTCGTTTTATGTATTAGCCTTGTGTTTGGTGGCAATACGTGGAATTTCGTATTATTTTCTCACTCCAGTACAGCATCAATACATTTGAGGTTGACCCCCCGTCAGATTCACTGAATAATGCCGTAGTGAAACCCAAGAATTAGGATGTCCAAAGGTGGAAGGAGTTTGAACTTCCCATCTCTTCCATTAGAGGTGTGGATATTTTCTTGAATGACCCAATCATTTTTGACTAACTGTATAATCAAGTTATTCTGGTATAATTATCACTTTGTAGTCCCATGAGCTGTGACATCACTTTGGCTGTTTGGCATTTTGATCTCTTTTCAATTTTCTTTAATTTGGTGTGGCGATAACAGATTACCACTACAGATACTGTATTACTACACATTGTTACACCCAAATAAGATCATACACATCAATGTTAACTATCATGATGCAACAGCTGTTACAGCAAGAACATTTTTGCTTCAGTTCTTGTATATCACTTTGACGCCTGTAATAGAAATGAGAAAAAAAGTTACTTTGTTTATGATTGTTTTATTCTATGGTTCGAAACTGTTTCATGTACATTTCAAAATTAATTACAATGGGTGCATACTGTAGGTTTTGGCCAGTTAGCTCAGACCACCACCCCTACTTTGAAAGTTAAAGCTCTGGCTGGATTGGAACTGTTAGCTCTGGTGCACCACTACTCTTGTATAAATCTGAATTAACCCATTAAGCGCCAGCGCTCTCCCCAATTGATGAGTCAAATTATCTGGTGTTAGACAGAGTAATTAAAATAATCTGGCGTTAGACAGAGTAAAATGATAAAGTAGGGCGCATCAGGGTGCAATGCGACTCAATGGGTTAACTGGACACATAGGCTAGTTATTAACCCATTAAGCACGAGCACTCTCTACTTGACGAGTAAAATCGTCTGGCATCAGACAGAGTAAAATAATAAAGTAAGGCGCAATGCGACTCAATGGGTTAACCTCTAAAAGACCTAAATAAATATAGCTTTCTTGTCTAAACATAAATTCCATGACAGAAGTAATTTCTGAGTAAAGGAGGTTCCTTGTTTGGAGATTTTCATGAGGCATAGAGGTTGCCCCATACTAGCACTCAAGATAATGCCAATGCAAGAATGCTAGCTATAAGTATAAATCATGCAAATTTGGGTATACCGGTATGCACGAGTCGATGATGGCTCGATACCGACTGAAAATATGTAGTGAACAACCCCACAAAAAATTCCACAAAACCTAGCAAGACTAGCAGTTAATATTTGTGAAGGATACAATACAGCTTGTTTATACTGTATATAATCCAGTAACTTCTCTTTAGCAGAGTAGCGAGCGAAACCAGAGTAGCGAGCGAAACATGATTGATATACCTGGTTGCAGTGAACTAACAAACTTTAAAAAAATTATTGGTCATATGAGCTGCTGTTTCAAACTGGCGCTAAAAACAAAAGCCAATGCCTGAAACTAAAAATAATGAAGTTTTGCATCCACAAGTGGAGAACAACGGCATGATTTTGACTCGAAAACATGAAATATTTGTTCAAAAACGGGGGCGAAAACTGGCGAAGGTCTTTGTCGGATGCTCAGGATCGCGGTTGGTCAGTGGTAATTGCCATGAGCCGGAGGAACCATATGGCGTCAGCAAACGTAAAAATCTGCCATGTTTTTGGCGACACTTTTTTGACTGACGAGTAATTTAGTAAAGCTCAGTAGTTGCAACCAGCGAGCGAGCACCAGCGAGCGAGCTGGGAGCATCCTAATCTCAGACTATGGGAGATTTTCGCTGGATTGTGAAAATTCAGCAAAAAATTGTTTTCAACACCCTTTGCGGGCTCATTTTACCCGTATATGGAACTCGTGACTATATATGGCGTACCACATGGAAAATTTTGCCTTCGTACTGTAGTTCATGCTGATCCTGCTGTTTCGTGCACCCTCGAAAAAAACAAAATAAATTCTGATTTATCGAAAATTGTTGTCTAACTACTGTAGTTTAAAAAAAATTTGTTTAGCAGTTCAATTAGCACTTAACAGTTACATTGAGTTATTTGTTATCTATGACCGTTTGCTGAGTTATAGTTGCACTAGCTGTTTAGACTTTTAGTAGTTATTTGTTATTTGTGACCCTTTGTTGATGTTGTAATCTATTTCGGTCTGACCTTGTCGCTATTCAAAATGATATTTTTTGCACCGAAATAAAGTTGATATAACATAATAGAATTGTATTGTTACTTGTAATACTTGTCCATGCCATTTATCAACGCGTTGTATATACAGTATCAGTGTATATACTTATTATACTTGTTGTGACACATCAAGAAAAGGAGGAATTTTATATCGTTGTGGAGTGTGGTGCAATATACATTGGTTGCACTTTTAACCTGTGGTTACTCCTAGTTTGTAAATTATAATTTCGTAGAGAATATTTATTGATTTAACGAAAGATTTTCAAGACATACGTTCCTTCAATGATCCATTGGATACATGCATGCTCAAATATTTTAAAGAGAAAACGTCAAAAACTCAGGTATACATAAGAAATTAAAATTGTATTCGCTTATTTAATATTCAGCAAGTTTTAATAAAGTTTATACTGAACTTAGTGGGTTCTTTAACTTTCGGTATAATATATCATTTAGACCCTCCGCTCGGGGGTTTCGTCGAAATATTACCCTCTAAATCTGTGATGACCATCACTTCGGGTAATACTCCGCCGAATCCCCCTCGCTCTGGGTCTATAAATGATAAATAGCCCATTTTAGCAACCTTTGAAAATTTTATGCTTATATCAAATTCACTCTTCAGGGCAGGGTAGGTTACAACACTGTAACTTGTTGCTGCCTTGTCGAACAAGAGAATTGCTACATTACAGAAAGGTCAGAAAGGTTTGTTTACAGCCAGTGGCGAAGCCAAGGGCTCTGCCCCCCCCCCCCTCCCCCAATAGGCAAAAGAACTGCCCCTGTGAAAAGTTGAAATCCTGAAAGATGTGTGAATAATGATTCCCATTTCTTCTGTGTACCAATAAAGTTGTAGTCTATCTAGAATTCAGTAAAAAATGCCTATGGTGGCTGAAAGCACATTTGAACTTGAATTTACGTGCATAGCAGCAGTCAAAGTTCAAAGTTATTCTTTTTATTACATAATTCCACTTCAAAAACCAAGACATCGTGCTATTTTTGTGTGTCACAGTATAATGTTTTAGTACAAAAATATTTTTTCCATCTGACAACATTAGGCGACTTAAAAATGGATTTTGTGGTTGTAACTTTTCTTCAAACCTCGTCCTACAATACGTGAAAGCATTCCAATGAATCTAACAATTACCGTGAAGGCATTCCGATGAAACTAACCACCTAGGTTCCTCGTGTTCGCATTCCAAATGCCATACAAATCCCCCCCCCCCCAAGTTTAGACCCTTGCTACGCCACTGTTTACAGTGCATGCAGATAGACTGATGCCGAATCAAATTTTGCAGCCATTTTTCTTGGTCTAGCAAGTGTCGGAAGATTTAGGACGGAAGGAACGAGGTTTTTAGAAAATTAATTTTACAGTGTAAGAAGCGCTTCATTCTGGTTAGCTTTAATTCTTGACTATGACCTCATTCACTCACCTGAATTACAAAAGCAGACAACCTGACCAATTTTCCTACGATTTAAATATAAAATAAGCATCTTATGTTATCCGGCTCCCGGTTTAATTGTTGCTGTTAACAGCATATCATTATCCTCGGAGTAGTTACGACGAGATACTAGATTAAGAAAAAGTAAACTCCTGATTAATGTTTGTCCTTTGGGCTTTAAAATTGACTAATTATAATAAAAAAATTTACTGGACATTTCCAACATGATTTTAGTCAGCCAGCATGTCTATAACCGAAATACATCTTCTATTGTTTTAAGTGTGCAACAGCGTCTGTTAAGAATAGCAAGAAATGTTCTCAATGTGGGAATACAGTGACAGAAGACAATGAAATATATAAGGAATATTTAGAGACGTTGGATTTCCTTTTTCCACCAGAAGAGGAGGTTGATGAGAGTGCCTATCAGGCAGAATGTGCAGCTATTGGCTCGGGTAAAATTTATGTGACAACGATTTCTGGGGAGTCTGTAACTCTTTCGTATTACCCCCTTAAGAAGATTTTCGACATCAAGAAAGAAGTGGAAAATGGGCTCAGAACACCTCCTGAAAAACAACGTCTACTATACCGAAACAAAGAATTGAAGGTAATGTTACATGCAGGCAATCCAGAGGGCTATCTCTCCCTGCAATTCTGTAATATCAATAAAATCACATGCTTGTTTCAACCGTAACCACTGAACCGACACAGAAACACAATTACACTTGCATACACCATAATTACGAATCGTGAGTCGTTTAGAAGTATTGTTTTATCGTACTATATAATGTATAGGTAAATAAGTAATATGAATGTTATGTATATTAGCGGTGCTAACGAATGTTATTTATATTCTACGACTAAGGACATATGCCCACTTCAAAAACAATGATTGACAAAAAATGTATACAAAAAAACTGTTCCATTAGAACATAGCCTATCGAAGGGAAGAAGACTGTGAAACTCATTAGAATAACAATATAACTCATCTGTGTTAGTCAACGTTTATTCATAAAGGTGGCCGGACATTTTGCCGAAAGACACTTAGCCGAAAGACATTTTTGCCTAATCAAACGGTCATTTAATTTGCCGACTGGAGTCAGACGGACGTTTTGCCGAACGGACGTTTTGCCGAACGGACGTTTTGCCGAACGGACATTTTGCCAAACGGACAGTTTGACAAACGGACAACTTGCTGAAAATAGAGATATCTTCTGAACTTTAAAGATTCGCTTACACGGTCAAAGTTTCTGTGATTAAAGTCGTTCATTTGTCGATTTTGATGACAGAAATTCCATGATTCTCGAAGTAGTGAAATCTGCTTACGTCGTTGTCTTTATATACACTTGTTTGTTTACGACCTGACGTCAAAACACATTCCTAACAAATAGTCATCCGCTGCACAAACAAGCTACCAATAGTCAACATGGTTATGCACTGCTAATGACCATATAATGGTTATTTTACACAATGGTTGAGAATTACACACATTTTGACGAAATAACATCGTTTTTTTCTGCAAATTGTCCGTTCGGCAAACTGTCCGTTCGGCAAAACGTCCGTTCGGCAAAACGTCCGTTTGCCAAAACGTCCGTCGGCAAAATGTCTGTTCGCAAAATGTCTTTCGGCAAAATGTCTTTAGGCAAAGTGTCTTTCGGCAAAATGTCCGGGTACCTTCATAAATATGGTCCTTCGCCGTCACGTGTGTATTGTATTTTTGCCAAATCCACCAATACCAATTTCCAATTTACCCATTGTTCGAGTCACGGATTGGTAACTTTCCTAAAACATTGCTATTGGTTAGTTGGGCAAAAATACAATACGCACGACGGCACGTGACGGTGAAGGACCATATTTATTATTTATGAATAAACGTTGACTAACATAGATAATGAGTTATATTGTTATTCTAATGAGTTTCATAGTCATCTTCCTTTCGATAAGCTACGATTGGAATGACACCAAGTACTTTTAAAGAGCAATATCAAAACCATGTTAAATCTTTTCAAAGCAAAACATACTGAAAGAAACCCTGAACTTTCGAAATATATTTGGAAAAGACTTAAATATTATATAAGTTTCTTAGTACTAAAATCTAAAAAGGTTATAGGTTACTTTGTATTATGAGTATTATATATGAAAGTCCATTTATATTAAAGTAAAGATCGTCGTGTAAACACAAAACAACGTTCAAATAAACAAGCTGAAGAGAAAAAAAGAAAAATGCATGGATTGTTTTAACTCCCGATACCACATCTTTCACCACAACCATTCAAGAGAACCACACTAATTGAAATTTCACACTGAGTCACCTGAAGATCCTAACGCTAGATGAAACCACTGGTTATATAACGAAGATTATAGTGTAGATTCGCCGCTCAAAGTATTCGCTACTAACAGAAATTTCACCTTGAGTACTTAGAATTAGGATGAGCTTCAGATCATATACCAGACTCTAGCCGAAGTGTGTTTAACTATCAAGTGTTGATGATGATCAATATGGTGAATTTATATTCATTTGGATGTTTTTAATTCGAAATTTCAGGTAAGAAATGAAGATCGTAAAATGCTTACGCTGAAAGACCACAATGTTCCACCAGAAAGCAAATTGCACCTCATCATCGTGCTGTGTGCTGTACCAGACGAGTTGGAGAAGGCTGTTTTTGATTTCTATTGGGGATTACCACATGGACGATCTAGAGACTTCTTAGACGTTTCAGTGTTCGTTTACAGTGGCACATCGAATCTTGGTGTCATTTACTACAGAAATCGGCGTCTCGACTTCTGCCCAGGCGTTGAACACTCAGGCCCTGCTGATATGTATTATATTCGACGAGAAGGTCGTCATCAGGTCAACGTAAACCTCAGAACTGTTCCACATCATGTTGACAAGCTGGTGTTTACGCTAAGTGCTTGGGCTTCAGCTAATATTTCAGAATATCCTTACTACAGGCTTGATTTTCATGATGTCAACTTTCCTGACCAGCAATTATGCAGTGATCAAGTCGATGTCCATCATAGAGCTTACAAATCCATGATTATGTGCTGTTTGTCGAAAAAGAATGGAAGATGGGAAGTCATAGATATGAAAAAGGGTTCCGACGGATTTACAAGAAATTATTATCCTTTAAAACGAGAAATTGAGGCACTGATACGAAACGGCTTACTTTAAACTGCATGAGTGAACTGTTGACACTGTCACTGCAAGCAGTATTGATACCAAAAAAATGAAAGAAGCATTCCATTGTGAAAATATTTTATAGATTACGAATATGCTTAATCGATCACCTAACTAGAAAATACATGCATGCAGAAACCCTCGCCTTGCTGACAAAATCATTGTATTTTCCGAACATGAAGTATCTAAAGTTGTTGTCATGGTAACACGATAATTTTTTAAGAATATTCTTACAAATGAAAAATCGCCTAAAAATATCACTTTTAATTACAAAATTATCAATTTCCCAACATATACATGTTAGGTATGTTATTATACGTAATATAAGCTTCAATTTAAGGTAAAATTCAACCACAAACGCTTCGCAAAACGTTTTAAATTAAAGTGTTCTTTATAAAACTAAACTGCCTTTAATAATTAAATGGCTTTATCGATAAACTTTGAGTTTGCAATAAAATGATTTCAAATTCTTGCATGCAAATAACTTTGCTTTCTTTTTTATTAAAAAATTCAATATAATAAAAAAGGGAATCAATATTAATAATACACTGAAATTATATGCTGTCTTGTTTAGTTGTTTCATATACGCAAAGGGCCAAAGGCCGTCGGGTTTTAAAGCAATTATAAAATCAATATTTAAAACAAACTTACCTTCGTTAACGTCGGCTCCCTTCTTTTAGCCGATTCTTTCGCCATTTCTTTCTTGAAATTTACAAAACCTTGCAAAAATGCGAGCAAAAATGAAATATATTTCCAAGAAATTTATCAATCATCAAATAAAGAAATGTTTGCTATTTCGCTGTCGTCATGCAGTCGTTATAATGCAAACTTTAAATTGGACCAATCACAGTGTTTGCTATTCATGACAGTGTAAATAGCCCGGGTGTAAATAGCCGGGGGAAATTAGTACCCTCGCACGGCGCTTCGCGCCGTCGGCTCGGGATAATGAATTAGAAAATCCAAGATGGCCGCCAAACCTAAGAGTGTCCACACAATTTAAGTGCTTAGGGCGGCTTAAAAATGCGTTTAGTCTTTAAAATTTTGCCTTCTTTTTGCTACCGACGTACTCGGAATCAAATTCTTCAGCTTTTATTACATGGGAACTATGTAGTTGCTGTTCTTCCAACTGGGTTTGGTAAATATCGTTCGATCGCTAAACAAAATTAACAGCCAAAATATAGTATTAAACTATTACGACAGATGTTCTCCAGCTGGACAGTCTTACCTAAGAGAACCCGGAAAGTTTTCTTAACTGGGGATGTTAAACTTGGTTTTACCCTTCTAAAAACTCTGCTGCGCGACGATTGGAGCGAGTTTATGAGGAATATTTTATACAGTGATTCAAAGAAATATTTTTGCATATGCTGTATATGTTATCGATCTATTGTTGAATGTCACTTATATTATAAAGTGCCAATGGTTGGAATGTTTATGCATTGATATTTTAAATTAAACACAGATGAAGTGTTATATGCTCTTTCCTTGTTTACGTTTTCCTTGCAGCCAAATGTTGTTGAAGCTGGCAAGCCGCAAAACTGACATATGAGTGATATGACCCAAATATTGGATATGCATCTCAGTTTGCTTCCAGTAAAATGCAAACAAGACCTTAAGAATTCTATATGAGATAAGAAATATTACGTTTAAAATCATGACTAGCAAATTAGCATGTGCGAATTCATGCTTCCTAAT